CTGTTTCGCAAACGAATCTTTAGTTTCTTTTTGCGATTCAAACTCTTTTGGAAACCAAATTGAACATGATTTTAACCTATTTTCTGACTCTTATAAATAGAAAACGAGGGTTACACATTGAAAAACCTCTCTTGCCTCTTCGTACACCATAGTTTCATCAAATTCATCAAGAAGAAGGGGTCAATGGCTATATTTTGAGAGAGGAGATCAAGCCATAAAAAGGAATTGAAGGTCAATTACATCAAGATTTTGAAGAATTCAACCTTGGGCGTGAAGATCAACATCTTTTGATTTATTGCATGATTCTGGTGATATTTTTCTGTTATTCTTCTTGTAATTTATATATGAACATGCTAGGTTAGATCCCTTTTTGTATTGAATGAAGACGAACCCTATTTTTTATTTTTTTAATTCAAGACTAGTAGTTTAGTTTATTTCTTGTGTTTCTTGATTAGTTTTGCACACCCATTACATTATTTAATTGATTGACCACCAATTAAATAATTAGTTGCTTGTTGTAGAGTTGAGAGACTCATAATAAGTTTAGAACACTGCAAAATTAACATATGTGCAATATGTGTTAGGAATAACATTTATTACATTGCAATCATATAGATAATCTAAATTTCAATGTATTCTAATCATTCGAATTCGGGCTAGGAAAAAGATTCGGGTCGTGGTTAGAATATATTTACTTTGTCTTGGAAAAGAGAATTATATATCATAGTTTTATTGATTGTCAAGAATGTATGAACGAAACTAGATTACAAATCAAGAATTGAAATATATAGCAATAGGTGGGTTCGAAATCAAATACAATTATCCATAATTTAATAAAAAATCACATTTTTACCGCTTTCTTAGACAATTTAGCATAAAATCAATCAAAACTCTCTTTTGTTTACACAATTCGAATCCCATACATAATTAGTAAACTTGAATTGAATTTATTTCCTGTGGGATGATACTCTTAACTCTTCAATTATGTTACTTGTCAATGATCCCGTATGCTTGCGGGTGTCGCACGAACACATTGGATATAAACCATTTTTAAAACAAAAATCTCTCAAAAATTTNAAATCTCACAAAAATTTATTTGTCAAAGCCTCAAATACAATTCCCTCAAAAACAACTTGTAGCTTTTGCAACAAGAATGGACATATTGGCTACAATTGTCTAATAAAAAAGAAGTTACACTTTGAAAGTAAAAACAGGTGGACTCGAGCATCCACTAAAACTAACCACCAAGAACACAAGCTTGTGTAGGTGCCAAAAATGAAAAAATTGAATTATTTTTATAGATATCAAAGAAGATGACGAGCAAATGGTTCTTCGATAGCGGGTGTTCAAATCACATGATCGGAGATAGAACTTTACTATCGAACTTCAAAAAGAAGGATGAAGGTCATGTCATATTTGGAGATAATGAAAAGGGAAAAATCATCGAAATTGGAAACATTGGTAATCAATTCTCCCATTCCATTGAGAATGTACTATTGGTACATAACCTCAAATATAATTTACTTAGTATTAGTCAATTATGTGATAAAGACTATCATATTAAATTTGATTCTTTTAAATGTCTCATTAAGGATGCTACATATAAAGAGATATTATTTATAGGAAGCTAAAGCA